CATCCAGCGCTGACCGTCCTCCGGAGCCTTCTTGCAATTAAGTTCCCCGCCCAATAGGTCAGACAAGTTCTCCCGGATTTAAAGGGAAATAATTATACAACTCTGGTGGTTACAGTGGTAAAAATAATGACCTATGCCCCAGAATTTCTAACAAAATTCACGGACGAGTAAAGCGATGCTAGATATCCAACCTCAACAAAGCTTTGGCATGCAGCTCTGACACCAGCTGACACATGCCAGTTGCTGGTATTTACACTTTAATCAAAATACAACTGAAAACCAAGGGAAAAGTTCAAATTCTGGAGGACGGCAAAACTGCCGGTTTATGGGCATCTTGGTAACAGATCCCTTTGCTTGGTATATTCCCCCCTAATCTGTCAACATCTGATGCCTTGCTCTTTAGTCTGGAGCTAAGAAAAGCTATCAAAAAATACCTTCATATAGTTTAGGGCCCATTCTGTCTGCCGTATCACCTGCTATTTTTACCGGACGCACTGAAGCCAGACCGCAAAGGGCAAATTTGTCAACGTGGGTGGGCTTTTTTAGTGCGAAAACCAAGGGCTCGTACAGACAGTAGCAAAGACCATCTGCATACACGTCTGGAAGTTCAGGCTCTAATTTAAAGCTGCTTCAAATATAGAAATTCCAGCAAAGTTAATTGTAGCTGCATTATGGAGAGGTGACAGCAGCGAGTCCTTAGAAAGCTGGGGAAGGTTTAAATCCGCCTCAGCTCTGCTCCCTTTAGAGTTAGGCTAACACTGGGTATAAATCCTATTGGAAAATTCTGCAGGTGAGATACCGACCGCACAGCAACGGCATCTCTTGAAAATAAGGATAAAGCTCTTTAGCAAAACCACCTTTTCTCCACATGTTGAGAATCGTGCAACACTGCCCCGCTGTATTAATCGGTCTGTACTTTTAAAAGCTTCCTAATTCTGCTCACAACCGAGAACTTAGCTTACTGTTATATTAAGAAACCGCTTCATAGTGTGGGTTGATTATTACTGGGAAGCGCTTAATTACAATAAAATGTGAGTTAAAGTGACAATTTATTTACTCAAGCTTATGAATATAAATTGTTTTTTCTTACCCATGCATTTTGAAATGGGAAGGTAGAGGCTGAGATCCCAGGAGTTTCTTCAGGCTGAGTGATTTCCTACAAGCGGCTTTAGGAACTGATACGGAAACTGCAGCCTGTGAACCAGTTTTCTCCCTGGGTGCCTCAGCACACATTTCTCACCTGTTGCAAGTAATGCAAGTTTTGCTTAAGACAACTGGAAACGGGTCCCTTTAATTGCATCAGAGCTCTGTAACCTGCAATGCACCGACGGCGAGCTGAAAAATAAATCCCCATTAGTGAATACATGAAGAGATAAAGGAAACGTTGGGTCCCCTTCCCCCAGTATCTTCCATGTTTTATAACGCCTCTGTCAGTATAAATTTCCATTCACTGAAGAAATTACATTTCACGAGAGCTACAATAGGATTTTAAGATAAATGACATGCGAGCACTGCAGTTTTGTACAGGCTTAAGCGATCCAAGTGTCTTTATCACGTGCGGAGTATCAAAATACATGAATTTGACTTGTTACAACAGTCACACGAGAAAGACTGAGTGTCATATGAGGCTGCAAAGCATAAAACCATCTTAGCTAAAATTTATTTTAGCGCGGGAGGGTTTTTTAACTGTTAAGTATAATTATTTAAAAATGGTCTGAGCTGTGCAGCTCTAATGATAACTGGAAACAGAAAAAAGCTCTTGAAAACGCCGGTTGTAAGGGCACTTCTTGCAAGCACTGCCTGCTCTTAACACTCGCTACCTTCGTTCATCGCTATTTCCGAAATTCTTGGAGGCTGACGAAGTTTTTAAGTGTCATCTTGCTGAGGCTGTAACATTATCTCCAGTGACAATACTCACTCCTGGGCTTTTATGTTGCAAGTGGAGAAAACATTTTAGCTTTTCAGGAGGGTAAACATCTCCCTGTGAAACAATGTAAGCAAGACGGACTGCAACCCTGGTATTTAATAAATGAAAATTCAGGGTATCATTTATCCCTGGGCAAAAATCGCCGCGGGTGTGTCTCTCTGTCGGTTCGCTCTCCGCAGCATCGCCGGCGCCACGAAGCAGCGCGCTGTCCCCGTGCAAAAGGCCACGCTACGCCCGCCTTACTGGGCGGCTTCAGGACAACAGCCGAAGCGCCCTGGGCCCGTCTCCTCAAAAGCGACGGCAGCCGCGTGGTGAACGTGCTCCCAGGTCTCTGCCTGCAAAGCACAAGTTCAGGTACTGAGAAACGGGGCTCGTCATAGCGTAGCGATTAAAAATAGGAGCGGCGTTTGCCAGGGAGCGTTTCGGCTCGGGCAGGGACGCGGCCCAAGTGATCGCCACGTTAGCCACGCCGCCTGCTCCCGAGGAGTAGTATTTTCTTGGCACGAACTAAATGTCTTGTTTTAGCTAATCATGGGGATGCTGGTACGGTGAAACACTGGGTCGTATTTTATCGCCCCACACATTTCTCCATACTTCAGCCACTCGGTAGCTGTTTAAGAACTTATTCCTCGAATAAAATAAACAGAAATACTGACCCGTTATTTGCTTTCAAACGAAATAAGCAGCCTTATAGGAAATATTGACCCATTATTTGCCTCTTCTCTTGAGGCTCCGAATGCACCCCGAGCTGCTGCAGCCCACGGCCAGGACATTTACTTCTCCTGTGGCCCCTATTTTGCATTCCCTTTTGCACCCTGTGTGGCCTCTTCAGCGGTTTGTCCCACAAGCGTTCAGTGACAAAAATCAGTCCTCGCTGCCTCCAGATTAAAAAAAAACCAAACCCTACTTGTGAGTGCTTTTTTCTGAATAAACAGGGATCGATCCCTGACCCATCCCTTTGACAGACACGTCTCCTTCTTATCTTCCGTCCGTGATTTGACTAGCTGGGTGACGTTACCCACCTTGCTTTTTCCATGCCACAGACCTGCCCAGCAGCAGCTCTTTGTGACCTTGTTTTTGCTGCTTTTTGCTCCATCAATTATTTTCTTGAGCGTTTTCTGTGGCTTTACCGATTGCATTGCCCGTCGGTGCACGCGTTAGCTGTAACTTTCCCCCAAGTGTCTCGTGTTTAAAATCGCAACCACTATATGCCTGGCGATGTATTGCTCTTTACTTATAGCAAACATATGAAGGGGGTACAATACCATGAATGATACTATTAATCAGTTTATTCCAACTCCACCTAGGAATCCCATTCACAGTTAAGACCCTGTTACGCAAGTGCTATACATATATAAAAAAAGTTTCCAGCTTCAGAAAGGTTGCAAGCTCTTATAAAAGCCGCCTGAAGTTTCCCGTGAGCTTCTTACTGTAAAAAAAATATACGTATTTCTTCTTGGAACAAAACGCTTCTCAAACTTTTAAAAGAATGATTCATATTTACTCTTATCTCCCTCCAGAGGAAAAAGCAAATGGTTTTAGAAATATTTTCAGCCTTACTCCCCATCGGACAAATTAGCGAGAGCTGACCTGCAATTCACCACCGTGCGCATGAGCTCTGCCGGCGCGCAGCGTCCGTGCCGCAGCCCTTTCTCCCGATGAGTCAGTGGACCTTGCAGACCCAAAGTCTTGGGAACGACCCAACTTCAGCATCTTCCCTTCCTCTTCCTTCCCCTTAAGATTCCTTTGGTGCTCCCTAATGCCGGTTTTTTTTTTAGTTATAATTAAAATAAATCTTGGAGAGAGTTCAATTCCCGTAACCCTGGCAATAGAGAAAACCTTATTAACCCTGAAACGGCCTGGAAATTGATTCTGCTGAGGTGCCTCTTCAGCCCTGGCACCCCGGGCACTTTCCCTGAGCTACCGCTCGCTCCTGCAAGATCTTGGGATCAAGGGTCTGTTTTTGGGTGCAGGGGGCTCCGGGGCAGGCAGGACACGAGCAGGGGGAACTCTCACCGGCCTGGAAGAGGAGGAATTTTTTTTTTTTTCCCCCGCAATTTATTCCTACC